GACAAGCTTCAGCGTGTAAGGTCCGAGATCGCCCATGATTCAATGCCCTGCGAAGGAAATGGATATCGTTGTTCTCGGTGCTTTTCCGTATTTTCGGTCAGTTCGTTTTTATAGTGGCAAGACCGCGCATGCCTTCCTGTCTTCTGTTTGTGTTCCCGCGTGCCCCTGGCGTGGCTCTGCGTCGGCCCCCGGCGCCCGCGTTGTTGAACGAGCCCTCATAGGGGCCTCCTACGCCTTAGAGGCACACGAGATGGTGATCACCAGCAAAGGCGCTTTCATTCGTGTGTCCTGCGGCGCCCACGCCGTCCGCAGCTCGCAGAACCTCAAGAGGAGTGTGCCCCGGCCACAGGAGCTGGGAAGGCAGCGCTCGCGAAATTCGTGAAGGGCTCATTTTAGTTTTGCAACGCCCCGCTCCCAAGGAGCGGGCTTCGGCCCATTTTTGAAACGACCACTGGTCAGCATCGGGGTCCTCCTCCTCGTCCTCTTCCTCAACCTCGTCCTCCTCGTCCTCCTCCTCCTCCTCCTCCTCCTCCTCCTCCTCCTCCTCCTCCTCCTCCTCCCCTTCCTCCCCCTCCCCCTCCTCCTCCTCCTCCTCCTCCTCCCTCCTCCTTTTCTCCTCCTCCTCCTCCTCCTCCTCCTCTTCCTCCCCCTCCTCCTCCTCCTCCTCCTCTTTCTCCTCCTCCGCCTCCTCCTCCTCCGCGGGTCCGCTGCATTCGGTGAGTGGGGTCGTAGCTGGATGCTCGATAGCTACCACCTTTTTACCGTATATTTGTTATTCCTGTATTCGACATGCTCGTTGTTTCCAGCTGTATATATCTGGATGTGTTTCTCTTTCTCTCTCTCTCTCTCTATCCTTCTCTCTCTCTCTGTCTTTTTTTTCTATATGTCTCTCTCTCTCTCTCTCTATCTCTCTCTCTATATATATATAAGATATATGTATGAAAGCGCGTTCTGTGGTCGCTTGGAGTGGGGGAGGGGTGAAACCGGACCCCCCCCCCCCTGGATGGATGGGGGGGGGTTCGAACCCCCCCCCACCCCTCCCGTGACGGTGGGAGGGGGGTCGCACCCCCCCCCCATTTGCTTCCTCTCTCCTCTGGCCGGCGCTTGCGTCGGCGACGGCTGGCGACGGCGGCGGGGACGACGATTTCCATTTCTGGGCCGGCGCTGGCACCTGCGGCGGCGGGCGGCGGTGCCGGGGAGCGTCGACGAGGACGACGGTGGTGGTGGTGGTGGTGGTGGTGGGTTGTGGTGGTGGTGGTGGTGGCGGCGGTGGTGGTGGTTGTGGTGGTGGTGGTGTGGTGGTTTGTTGTGGCGGTGGGTGGTGGTTGTGGCGGTGGGTGGTGGTGGTGGTGGTTTGGTGATGGTGTGGTGGTGGTTTGTGGTGGTTGTGGTGGTGGGTTGTAGTAGTGGTGGTGGTGGTGGTTTGGTGGTGGTGTGGTGGTGTTTTGTGGTGGTGATAGTGGTCGGTTGTGGTTATGGTGGTGGTTTGTGGAAGTGGTGCTGGTGGTGGTGGTGGTGGTGGCGGTGGTGGTGGTGGCGGTGGTGTGGTGGTTTGTGGTGGTATTGGGTTGTGCTGCTGGTAGTGGTGGTGGTTGTGGCGGTGGTGGTGGTGGTGTTGTGGTAGATCGTGGTGGTGGTGGTGGTGGTAGTGGTGGTGGGTTTTTGTTGGGGTGGTGGTGATGGTGAATTGTGGCGGTGGTGGTTGTGTTGTGGTGGTGGTGGTGGGTTGTCGTGGTGATGGGTTGTGGTGGTGGCGGTGGTTTGTGGACGTTTGGTGTGGTGGTGGTGGTGGTGGTGGCGGTGGTGGTGGTGGTGGTGTGCTGGTTTGTGGTGGTGGTGGTGGCGGTGGCGGTGGTGGTGGTGGTGGTGTGCTGGTTTGTGGTGGTGGCGGTGGGTTGTCCTGGGTGTAGTGGTGGTGGTTGTGGCGGTGGTGGTGGTGTAGATTGTGGTGGTGGTGGTGGTAGTGGTGGTGTTTTTTTTTTTGTGGTGGTGGTGGTGGTGACTTGTGGGGGTGGTTGTGGTTGTGGTGGTGGCTGTGGTGGTGGTGGTGGTGGTGGTTGTGTGGTGCTGTTCGTGGTGGTGGTGGTGGTCGTTGACGCGGTGGTGGTAGTGGTGGTGGCGGTTGTGGTGGTGGTGGTAGTGGGGGTAAGCGTCGCTGCGTCCACGCCGCCACCGCCGGCGCTGGTGGTTTTTTATGGTTGTGGTGCTAATGGTGGTAAGCGGCGTTGCTGGCCGCCGCCACCGCCGGCGCCGGCGCGGGAAAGGGGGGGAGGGTTGAACTCCCCCCCCCGCGGGGGGAGGTTTGAACCCCCCCACCTCCCTCCCCCCCCCTTGGGCTGCCTCTGATCATCGGCGCTGCGTCCCCGCCGTGGGCGCTGCCGGCGGCCGCCAGCGCCGGCGCCGGCGCCGAAGGGGGGGGGGGCTTCGGGACGGGGGGGGTTTGGGGGGAGGGGAGTTTCCTTGGTTTTGATCGACGGCTCCGAGTGTTGGGGGGGGGGGCCCACCCCCCGCTTCGAAACGCGCCGCCGAACGTTCCCCAGGCAAGCGACCGTGAACCACGTTCCCTCTATTGTATATGCTATATATATACAGTTATAATGTGTACATGTATATATATATATATATATATGTGTGTGTGTGTTGATGACTACGGTATCTCGTCTGTCGGTAAGGACGTCGCCGTGCGCTCGGATATGAAGAGTTCGCTACCACGGTCACGCATGCTATCCAGGAGGACATGGCGCGTTCTGTGGCTGAGGATAAGGCTGCTGTTGTGGCCTCCAACGGTCGTCTGGGGAAGGCCCTCAACCAGTTCCTGGGTGTCTTCGGAGGCGACGGTCAATGTTGGCGTGGACGACACGGCGGGTAGGCCTCGTAGAAGGAAGAAAGGCTCCTCAAAGGCTCTAGATCGTAAGCGCGTGTTCTTGGGCAGGCTCCGCAGGTTCAGAAAGGCTCAGGAGGCCGTGGGAAACACTCTCGGAAGATCTTCGTCGCGGGTCCCCTGTGTGGACTTATTTACGGCGCCGAGGTCCACGACACCTCGGACACGGAGCTCAAGGCCCTCATGAGGTGTTTCAGCAAATGCGTGAAACCTTCTGTGGGCTCCAGGAGCCTCACTACTTTGATGATTCTGGAGCACGACCCGTGCAACTATGCCTCTATCACTCCTGTGCTGCACCTGGCCAAGCAGGCTCGGCTGAACCAGACAAGGCTTTATCAGTATGCAGGTTCTTTTCCTCTCTTGCGTCGGGCATGGGAAGCAGCCTTCGCGGGCCCGGCGCCGTCGCGGAGGCCAGTGTCGGTATACCAAATTTGATTGTGCTGGAGACGGAGCAGGGAGTCCAAATCGGTTTGACCACCTCCAGCCCCAGGTTGGTCAAAGAGTTCCTGATAGAAGGAGTTCTGAGGCATCTTCAGAGGCAGTCTGCGGTGAAGCATGAGCTGCCTGACGGTTCTCGAATATGTTTTGATATTTTCATCCAGGCTCTCTATTCCAGGAGGTGGTCTGCATTCCTGAAGGGATGGATTCGTTCCTTTGCTTGTTTTGCCATTTTGACAGGTCCCAGAGCGCAGGAGGCTGGGTATCTGCTCGACGATATTTCCTGCCAGCTGTACGGCCAGGAAGACAGCATCTATCACAGGCTATGGTGTTGCCAGGCCGTTGGCGAGACTCGATCAGACGTGGCGAAGCCAGAGATCATCGATCGCGCTGCCGCACTCCATCCCGACAATCTTGATTGGTTTTTGTTTATATCGGGTCTCTTCAGTCACCCTGGAGATCAGGTGTTGCCCCCTATCTTGGAAGGAGGTATATGGTGGTGAGATGGGTTGATGGCAGGCCTCCTGAGTCCACCGACATTGAGGGTTTAGTATGTTCGATGGGTCTGGCCTCAGGAGTCCGTTCTCTGAATTATGTAGAGCTGGCTGGGGGGCTGGTGTTTATGATATTGATCGCAATCTTGCGTGTACCCTAGAGAGCCCTGTTCCTAGGTGGCTGACACAGACTTTTCAGGCAGGGGAGGTCTGCAGGCTAGGGGCCACCAATGAGCTCTTTTGTGGGCCTAGTCTCGGGTTCTCGGACTGCGAGAACGTCGTCCGAAGTTTTACCTCCCCACAAGCTGCTACGTTAAGTTATAAGAAGCAATACTCAGGCACGTTGCTCAACCTGGCCACCAGTAAATGCACGCATGTCCACAAAGTGAAGGCACATGCTGCTGGTGAAGGTCTTGAGGGCGAGTTGTTATTTCAGAAGGTCGGCAATCAAGAAGTTGATAGGGCTGCGAAGAGAGGGCTCACATTCACCCTTCTCCCAGCCAAGCTGAGTCGGCCAATATCGATGATCCGTTGTCTGTTGCGCGTGCTGTTATTGCATTGGCAGCCTGTGTTCTCCCAGAGTGGCGGAGGCTCAATTTGGACGGAGTGCGGAGTGCCGAGCCTGCAGGCAAGCCGCCCGTCTCTCGTTTTGATCATGAATGGGCGTGGTGCAGGCTTTTGGCGTTGCCATGTCTGCCTTTCGTCCAGCAGGAGGGAGCAGAAGCCTTCTGCCCGTGGTTGTGTTGGTTCCCCATCAGAAAGGGCCCTGGCGATCACAAGGCATAAGCACAAGCTGGTTGTTCTCTCGAGCTCCGACGATACACTCATCTATGCCTGTAGTATGTGTTTCGCCTACACCTCTGGGGGGCAGATCCGAAATCTTTCGAGGGATTGTCTGGGAGCCTCCCAGAGCAACGGAGCATCGCAGGCCTAGAAGCGGTTGTGTCGAGGCAAGCATCCTAAGCTCTCGTCAGTCCAAGTCCAGGCTTTCTCCCTGCGAGACTAATCTCCCAGGCACACCCAGGTGGACAAGCTCCTCCTCCCCCCCCTCTCCTCCTCCTCCTCCTCCTCCTCCTCCTCCTCCTCCTCCTCCTCCTCCTCCTCCTCCTTCTCCTCCTCTTCCTCCTCCTCCCCCTCCTCGCCCTCCCCTCCACGGGTCGCCTACGGCCCTGGGGGAAACCGCCCAGGTCCTCGTCATCGATTGCGACGCCTTCTTCACGAACGCCAGTATCGGCGTTTCGGATCTGGTGGCCAGCTACGGGACGGACGATACCCTGTTCTTCGTCGCGGAAGACCCTGCCGGGATAAACACTGGCGTCTTGCTGTTCCGCCGGCACGAATGGACGAGGGATTTCTTGCGACGGGTGTTGCAGACGCCGTTTGTGCAGATCTGGGACCAGTCCCAGTTCTTCTGGCAGATCTTGCAGGAGTTCGGCGCGTTCTCCCTTGGCGATGTCCCTTCTGCGACGTCAGGTCGAGTCGCCCTCGTGCACCAGAGCCACCTGAACGCCTACCACTCCGGCACGGCGGAGAGCTGGAACGCGTACGCTTGGCAATCTGGCGACTACGCGATTCATTATGCTGGTTGCCCTTGGGATGAGCAGTTCTGCTGGGACAAGATGGTGGCATCGGCGCGGCTAATAGAGGATCAGGTGCCTGGCGAGGAAAATAGGCACATACATTTTGTTCCTGTCTGGATCCGCCCCTCCCTCCGTCACGTCTCACTACCAATTGTGCGTCTTTTTCTCTGCTGCTGCTGCCTCTGCTGCTGCTCTCCCTGCTGCTGCATCCCTCTCCATGTGCCGTTCCCTCCCTGTCCTCGATGCCACGCGCGCATTTGGCGTCACCGCTCCGGCGTGAGGCGGCGGAGTCCGCCGACTTCCGGACCGAGCTTGCCAACCAGGTGCGGTCAGAGTGGCGCAGCAATGAAATGGGAAACAGGAGGAGACGTCAGCAGCCGTAGCGCCATCTGCAGCAGCTCGGGTTCGCTGGTGTGGGCAGTGTGGCTCTCGGTCACGAACTTCGATCAGAGTGGCGGGGCGGCCCATATGGGGTTACCAGTGGAACAGGCGAAGGTGACCCCTCCTGCCGCACTGGCTGGAGCTGCGGCGAGGAAGAGGATAGGCTTCAGCAGAAGGAGCAGGCAGAATACGCATTGGGCTGACCAAGATGAGTGGGAGGAGGACGAGGCTCATGTCCCGCGCCCAGTTCTCATAGGAAGGCAGGTTGAGACAATGATTGTTGGCCTTCGGTGGGGGGGGGGGCTCGTCGCCATGGCTGGATGCAGGTCCCAACATTGGTGCGTTTCGCCCGGGGAGGGGTCCGGAACCGATCTTGAGCTGCCGTCGTCTCAGCTCGCCCCGCTCCGAGGCACCCATCTCAGCAGGGCGGAGCAACGCTTTCCCTCAGAGGCCGGGCAGGAAGAGGCGGCAGCGATGGGTGAGGAACGGGGGCGCAGCAGCAGGAGGACCGCGAGGAGGCAGGAGGAGGAGCGCCCACAGAGCACAGACGAGGCGGCGACGTGGAGAGTCAAGCTCCACGGAGAGAGAGAGAGAGAGAGAGAGAGCATGCGCAGGAGCAGAGGCCTTTTTTTTGCCATCGAGATTCGCGCCGCGGAGAGCGGTGAGGGAGGCGAGGGCTTCTCTCCGGAGCGGGCGCCCTTTCGTTTTGGCCTGCGGCCGTTTCTGCTTCCCCTCCCCTCCTCCGAAGGGGGCCTCCATGCCGACGGAACCCGCAGGGCCGCATGCGATCCGGTTCGATGCGATTCGATTCGCCAGTTGGGGCCGCGATTCCGATTCGTTTCGATCGCGTTCCAGTCATCATGGGCATCGGCGGGGGCCAGGCGAAGCCGGGCGCGGCCAGCCAGTTTCGATGCGATTCGGGGCCATTCGCTGGCGACCTCAGCCGTTTCCCCTGCGATGCGATTTGGCGACTCGGCCCAGTTCTGGCCCGAATCAGACGCAGTTGCAAGAGGCACACGGATAGGCCCCTCCTCCTCCCATCTCCTCCTTCTCCCTCCTCATCCTCCTTCTCATACCCCCCCTCCTCCCTGGGCTGGGGCTTGAATGCTTTACCTCCCCTGTAGCCTCACTGACAAGCTTTCGAGGACTGCCTGACCTGACCTGACCCTCCCTCCTCCCTCTTCGGCGATCGTCGGGGTCGGGGACCTCCTGCTTGGGCGTTTGCTGTCTTCGTTTACGATGCGGTCGGGCATTCAGCTTTCCCAGGTTTCTCACCGGGTACTCTGGAACTTGATGATGCCCCTCCCTGTTTGGTGGAGCTGGCATCTGAGATTGTTTCGGCTCAGAGGGCCCTTGCTTGGTTTATCCCATACGAACGCAGAGGTTGGGATGAGCCGCTTCAGGTACCCGCTGACTGCAAGGAGGCTCTGAGCATTGCTGAGAGGCGCGCTCGTGATTTTCCCAAGCATCAGCGCTCTGCCTTGGATAGTATCGCTAAGGTGGCTAAGGTGTTCGCGTCCAGGATTCATTGGGATCATGTTCGGAGTCATCCGGGGCATCCCTGGAACGAGCTGGTGGATATTCTGGCCACTCGTACCTCCATGGGGTGCCCTTACCTGGATACCCTGCTCCTTCCTGGCGTGATGCGCTTCTGGACCATACCGCTTCGAGTTCGGCTTGGTGGTGTTTTGAGTCTCCCGAGCCCCGAGCTTCAGGTTCAGTTCCCTCCTGCCGGTGGTCAGCTGGTATTAAGTTGACCTTCCTGGTATTATGAAGTCTCTTTAGGGTCTCAGCGCAGCTGCCGACGAGAGTTTATCAGCTCAGCAGTGTGCAGTTTTGTGTACCAAGCCTCTTTGGATGGTGGATGGTGGCTGCCAATGTGCTTGCATTCGGTCCCAAGGCGTCCGTTCTGGCTGATTGAGGCTAGAAGTTTTACTCGGTTCCACATGTCTGGGCGCATGCGTCATCTTGAAGGTATGTTTCGAACGCGGGACTTGTTTTTTTTGACGCACGTGTTCGTAGGAGTGGGACCTCAAATGCTGGTTCCTATCACGCCATTCACTCTGAATGCACTAAGGCAGGGAAGTATGGGTGCTCCCTATGTGCAGATACTACGCGCGCATTTCTTCCTGGCACCAAGATTGGAGCATCTTAATTCGGAGTTATGTTTGCTAACCCCCGCCTGCTTATTCAGGTTATCGTCTTCAAAGCGTTTCAAGCTCGACGTTGTTGCCGGCCACGCGCCGCACAGGAGGGCAAACTATTTTGAGTTGCAGTCCTGGTGGCAGAATGCTACAGATCTTATCCACCGAGTTGTTTGTTGTTCCTGGGGCCTAATTGGCTCGTCGCTTTCTGGATGCGAACGCTCGCCTTGGGTCCGTGGTCTCCACACATGTCGGCAGTGTGGCCGCTGCCTTGCGAAACCTTCTTGGTGGAGCTGTTCACGATTTCTTCCGAGATCTAGATTCGTGGCGCCGTTAACCGTCCTGCACTCTGTTCAGGGTTCCGCTAGTGCTCGGTTCCCGGTTGGCCAAGCTGACAGCCTTGCTCATCGTATCGATTAGGCCTCATGTTCTTTTGGCGTGCACATTAATACACCGAAAGTTTTGAGCGATTGCGATATTTCCATTTCGATTTTAGATCACGTTCCACTGAGCATCCGGGCGTGCATTCCTGCTTGCAGCATTCCTGTTTGTCCTTGTGGACAGCGTAAGTTGTAGTGCGACCAGGACAAGTTGCAATCTCCTGGAGCTCGCGGACAGTTGCAGTCTTTTTTGGGTGATACACCATCAGTGCCGTTCTGTGCGACTACCTCGGAGCATCGTCAGATTATCTAGGACCATGCACGATCGTCGCTCGAGGCCACGTTTCCTGTTCGACAAACCGACCAGGGTCGCACGCCAGGGCAGCCTTAGATGTCTTGTCGGTCCCTAAAAGCCGTGGACGCAAGGGTTGAGCATATCCGAGGTGTTCGTCGTCTGGCTGTTTGATGTCGGCGTCTTCGGTTTGAAACGTTCTTTGATGCCTGGGCTGCCCCGCCCAGAGGGGCTTGATTTTGCCATCGCCCAGGCTGTCACCGCCTGCTTCAGCCGAGGCCTCATCGGAGGCCTCGTCATTTCCCCCAAGGTTGGCGTCGCCATCTCCGCCGCGAAGACCGTCGCCTACCGAGGTGCTGTGTGCGGGCCATCTCTGAGGCCTTCGAAAACATGTTTCGGGTGCCGCCTACCCTGCTCTGAGGGCAGATCCTGCGCGTCTCCTGCCAGGCTTCTGGGCCTGCTGGGTTCGAGCGTCGGCGGCCTTGCGGGGCTCCTGAGCAGTGCTGGTCTGGTGTCTTGGCAGTCTCGGGAGTTCCGTGATCATCCTAGCTTGTGCCAGTTCTTTGGAGGTTGGCACTGGTGCGCAGCCTTCCTGGTCCAGCCTTTGGTCTTTTGGTCTGGAGTTGTTTGGCCAATCGCAGTGTCACGCTCGATGCTGGCCGACATGCCGCGGGCCAGGCGGCGGATAATGCAGATGCGTGGCCCAGGAAGGAGTTCGCAGGATCCTCTGCCAAGTTAAGCGCCAGGGGCACTTGCAGTCGTCGCAAGCAGTCTTCCAGACCTCTCCCCCTGCTCGTGGGTTGGGATGGGGAGCCTTTTCCTTGGTATCGTTCGAACAGTCCACGTGTTTGACTCTTTGGTGCGTACTGGGGCGCCTTCCTGGTCTGAAGCAAAGGGTCCTCTCGCGGACGCTCAGGCTCTGGGCCGCGGTAAAGCTTCCGCGCAAGGATGCCAGCGCCGTGGGTGCCCAAACAGTGCTTGCGGCAGCTCGAACGCGTCCTACTGCAGCGCTGATCAGCGCTCACCGTCTCATGCTCTTTGGCAGGTTGTTGTGCACTGGTCCTCAGCGCATCCTGGCTCTCGCTGCCGCCTGTCGTCGTGAATGTCGACGGTCCTGGAGTCTTCAGGTTGTCGAGTCTGAGATGACTCGTCGGTTCCACCCCCGGGCATCGTTCGCATCTTGACCCGGTTGGTCATCTTCAGGTTTTGGGAGGATCCGATCCAACAGTCTGCCAGTGCCTGGAAGGCGCGCGCATAGGATGCGTTGGCTTCGCATGTGGATGCTGTCTCGCGCGTTCCTCTCTCTCTGCTGCTGCGGAGAAGTCAGTGTGCAAGTTTTCTCAGGGGCTCGGGCGAACCGTTCGCAGGTGCGCTGATGTCCGGCGATGCCCTCGACCCAGACTGCGCGTCCGTTGTCCTGTTTATTTGTGCCGCGCCTTACGAGCACCACCCATTGGATTGTGAGGCCCTCTTCTCTCCGTGTCGCACAGGCCACTTCGACGTGATAGTTCGTGAGCCCCCCCCCCTCGGTGGACCAGCTGCATCTGTTCAGTGGAAGGGAGAGGTCAGGAGACTGCCGCCAGCTGCAGGCCCAGATGCACGCCAGCTCTGCGGAAATGTGAGCGTCGAGCATCGATGTTGAAATTGGCGCTGTTCGGGGAGATCAGTCGCGAAGGGTTCATTCTGGACTGGGCAGGGCACATTCGAGCTCGCTGGATGATCAGCGCATGGGGGGGCCCCCCCTGTGAAACCTGGTCGGCTTCCAGGTTGCACGAGCCCCCCCCCTTTCAGCATCGCGGGGTTCATCTGCGGAGCTGCATGTGCCGCGCTGGTCCGAGTGAGCATATCCGCGTAGGCATCTCGCAACTGATCGCGCCGGGTCCGCCTCGTGGCTGAACACTCGAGGGGCGGGGCGGGGGCTTGGACGGAGCGCCCCGCCACAGCCGCGCGTGCCCCGCTCCGATGCTCCGATTGCTCTTCGCTGGGATCCCTCGGTTGCCCTGCCCCGCGCTCCTCGAAGGAGGAGGAGGAGAAGGAGGAGGAGGAGGAGGAGGAGGAGGAGGAGGAGGGGCGACGGAAGCGCTCCTGCGAGTCTTGCGTCCGTTCGCATGCCTTCCCGGCACCGCCGTCTTCTCGGCGCGGTTGGGGGCGGTCGGTGCTCTCTCAGCAAGGGGGCCCTATCAGCATCTCTCCGGCAGGACTGTTTCGCGCATGCTTCGCACGGCTTCGAAGACGTTCTGTCCTGCCAGACAGCGCGCTGCTAACGCCAGCAGCGTGTGATTCCAGTGAGCCCCGCGTTCTCGAGCCCAGTTATTAGGGAACTCCGCTGGTGCGGGATATCCCTGAAGTCTTCCGGATCTGTCGGGCTTGTCGCCTCTCTGAATGCGGCCGATGAAGAGGATTGCCAGGTTGCGCCAGGGTAGTCTGTCGCAGTAGGCCTAGCCAGGTGTTCAGATTTGACCCCGCGCGGGCGCGTCTTGATGATTCTTCTGATTCCGACGGTTTCGCCTCTCCGGCCAGCGACCTTCCGTCCAGCTGCGCCCCAGAAGTGCCTCTGAGCGCTGAGGCCCCGAGGAACGGGCCATTCTGGAGCTGGCCTTCGAGGGGCCCGATTGGGGTTTCGGCGCTCTCGGTATCCTTTTCGCCCCCCCTCCCCCCTCCCTGCCTTTCCCCTCGCCTCTTTTTCCCCCCGCCCCCCCTCTCTCGGCGATGCCCAGAGAGCGCGGACCACCGCGAACAAGGACCTGGCTCGGGAGCGGCCCGCGTCGCGATGGGCGGCCCGGGTCGCCGCCCGCCCCACCGTCCCCCCCCTCCCCTCCACTTCACATTCACCACCCACCAAGCCACCCCAACCCAACCCGAAGGCCTCAAATTGACCTCCATTTCCAGTGGGGGGGGGGTCGGGGAACATCGAGAAAAC